CAAAATGCAAGTTATAACATATCAGTGGTCACATCTGCTGACAGGTCTTCACAAGCTAGTGTTGGCAGGCAAGCTTGTTGCTCATTGTTGAGAAGTCTAGCATGCATGGGCAGGAACATTTGTGTGTAATGACTTGTTTACAATATGATACTATACGGTTACATGATGTAATGTTGTGTCATCAAAATTTCAGGGCAGGAAAAAAACACACCAATTTACAATAAATTGTTAAATTTAAGATGTGTCATTTCAAAAAAATATTATATACATTTTTGAAATGATGAAAATTTTTTTAAAAAGTTAAAGGGTTACAAATTTCCAAGGGGGTTGTTGAGTAATTTTTTTTCCTTGAAAATGGGGCAGTAGGTCAAATAAATTTGGGAACCTCTGGCAATGAATTTGAGTCAAGCTAATTGAAGGAAAGCAGTCACCCTCACCTTCCTAGGATCATTGGTCTTGAAAATAATCAGGAAGTAATGAGGCAGCTCTTGGCACTGTGGACAGAGTTCTGGGCCTGGCATCAAAAAGATGTGAGCTCCAATCCAGCCTCAGTTTTATGCTTATTCCCTTCTCTTCTCCTCAGAAAGAGTTTTTCATATGAATAGAAAAGGTTTCCCTTGAGGAGAAGTACTTTTTATAGATGATATGAGCAAATCCAGTCAATACTGGTGTCCAAATAAAGGATGCTAAAGAGAGGGGAGATTTATCAGCCCTCTAGAATCCACTGAAATGACCATTTATTTATCATGCACTATGTCCAAGGCCCATGGATACAAAGACAAGATTAAGTTGAGTCTCAAGGGGCTTACCTTCTATTGGAGAGAAACAACATGAAAACAGATAAGCATAAAAATGATAGTATGAACCAACAAATAGTGAGATCAAGGAAGGCTACACATACGAAAAGACATAAGAGTTGACTTTGAAGGAGTTAAAGGAGTCTAATACAGGTTGACAAGGCAGAATAGAAGCCAAAGTCTTGAGAAAGCAGGCAGCCTAACTTCACCAGGCATGGCTCTATTTTATATATCTATATCTATATCTATCTATCTATCTATCTATCTATCTATCTATCTATCTATCTATCTATCTATCTATCTATCTGTTTAATTTTTAGGCATTTGGGGTTAAGTGACTTGCCCAGAGTCACACAGCTAATAAGTGTCCAGTGTTTGGTCTGAGGCCTGATTTGAACTCAGGCCCTCCTGACTCCAGGACCAGTGCACTATCCACTGTTCCACCTAGCTGCCCCATGGCTCCATTTTTAATAAAGGGAATAATTAGGTATAGTCACTAAGAGTAAATAAAATAGGCTTAAACCCATTTAATCAAGTAGGAAACATTCCCTGTCAGGGAATATCTGCCTAGGATTTTACTTGAGAGAACCTGCCATTTGGGTAGAATGACAATGACAGGGAAAGAGATTTACTTGCCTCCATAACTCAAAAATCACACATGCCATGTCAAAATATAGTGTGTGTATGTGTGTATCCTTGTTTCTACCTTTTTTGTGTATTTGTGTGTGAGACAGAGAGAAGAGAGGAGAGAAGAGGAGGGAAAGGGAAGAAGGAAAGGAGGAAGAAATGAGAAAAAACAATAAAGGAATGACAAGAGCTCATAATGAGAGACTATAATGGAGAATCTAGAAAAGTGAGGTGACTAGAACTTAGTGGCTTCATTTTTCCTCCGACAAGTCATTATATTTCAACATCATGGCAAGCATAACTAGCTAATTAGTAATGAGTTTGGTCAGATATAGATTCTCTCATTGAAGCTATGAAAAGCATATTAACTTATATTATCTTGTGAAGATATGGATCATGGGGGTTGGTGGGACCTGAGATGCACAAACTATCATAATTTTAAAGGACCTTAAAGTTCCCTGAATTCATTCTATTCATTTTTTTTATAATTGTATTAATAAATTTATTTATTTTCAGTTTTCAACATTTACTTCCACAAGATTTTGAGTTCCAAGTTTTCACCCCATCTCGCCCCTCCCCCCACCCCAAGATGGCATGCATTCTGAATACCCCTTCCCCTAGTTTGTCTTCCCTTCTATCTCTTCCCCCTTCTCTTATCCCCTTGCTCTTCTATTTTCCTGTAGGGCAGGATAGATTTCTGTACCCATTTCATATATTTCTTATTTCCCAGTTGCATGTGAAAACATTTTTTTAAACATGTTTGGATTCCAAATTTTCTCCCTTCCTCCCTCCCCACCCACCCTCATTGAAAAGGCAAGCAACTAAATATAAGTTATACTTGTGCAGTTACGTGAAACACTTCCATAGTAGACTTACTGTGAAAAACTAACTCTATTTCCCTTAATCCTATCCCGCCCACCCATTTATTCTATTCTTTCTTTTTACCCTGTCCCTCCTCAGAGGTATTTGCTTCTGATTACCCCCTTTCCCAATATGCCCTTCTCTCTATCATCCCCCTACTCTCTTGTCCCCTTCCCCCCCCCATTTTCCTGTAGGGTAAGACAGATTTCCATACCCAATTAAATGTGTGTATTATTCCCTCCTTAAGTCAAATCCTATGAGAATAAAATTCACTCATTCCCTCTCACCTTCCCCCATTTCCCTTCCACTGTAAGAACCTTTTCTTTTCTGTTTTTTTGTGAGATAATTTACCCCATTCTACTTCTCCCTTTCTCTTTCTCCTAGTATAATCCTCTCTCACCCCTTAATTTTATTCTCCAGATATGATCCCTTCATTTTCAACTCACCCTGTGCCCTCTATCTGTCTTTCTATCTATCTATCTACCTATCTATCTATCTATCTATCTATCTATCTATCTATCTATCTATCTATATATGTACATACATACAATCTTTTCCCTCCAACTACCCTAAAACTGACAAAGGTCTCATAAGTTACAAATGTCATCTTTCCATGCAGGAATGTAAACAGTTCAACCTTAATAAATCTTTTATGATTTCTCTTTCCTGTTTACCTCTTCATGTTCGACTTGAGTCTTGTATTTGAAAGTCAAATTTCCTATTCAGCTCTGGTCTTTTCAGCAAGAGTGCTTGAAAGTCCTCTATTTTACTGAATGACTATTTTTTTTCCCCTTCAGAATTATACTCAGTTTTGCTGGGTAGGTGATTCTTGGTTGTAATTCTATCTCCTTTGCCCTCCGGAATATTATATTCCATGCCCTGCGGTCTCTTACTGTAGAAGCTGCTAAATCTTGTGTTATCCTGATTTTGTTTCCACAATACTTGAATTGTTTCTTTCTGGCTGCTTGTAATATTTTCTCCTTGACCTGGGAACTCCAGAATTTGGCTACAATATTCCTAGGAGTTTTCCTTTGGGGATCAGTGGATTCTTTCAATTTCTATTTTGCTCTTTGGTTCTAAAATATCAGAGCAGTTTTCCTTGATAATTTCTTGAAAGATGGTGACTAGTCTCTTTTGTTGATAATGGCTTTCAGATAGTCCAATAATTTTTTAATTCTCTCTCCTGGATCTATTTTCCAGGTCAGTTGTTTTTCTCCAATGAGATATTTCACATTCTCTTCTATTTTTTCATTCTTTTGGATTTGTTTTACACTGCCTTGATTTCTCATAAAGTCACTAGCTTCCAATTGCTCTTTTCTAATTTTTAAGGAAATATTTTCTTCAGTAATCTTTTGGATTTCCTTTTCCATTTGGCCAATTTTGTTTTGTTTTTTTTAGGGTATTCTTTTCCTCATTGGCTTTTTGGACCTCTTTTGCCATTTGGGTTAGGCTATTTTTAAGGTGTTATTTTCTTCAATTTTTTTTTGCATCTCCTTTAGCAAGCTGTTGACTTGTTTTTCATTATTTTCTTGCATCACTCTCATTTCTCTTCCCAATTTTTCCTCTACTTCTCTTACTTGCTTCTCAAAATCCCTTTTGAGCTCTTCCAAGGCCTGGGACTGATTCATATTTTTCTTGGAGGCTTCGGATGTAGGACCTTTGACTTTGTTATCTTCTTCTGGTTGTATGTTTTGATCTTCTTTGTCACCAAAGTAAGATAATATAGTCTGAATCCTTTTGTGAGGTTTGCTTATGATCCCAGCCCACTACTTGAGTTTTAAACTCATTGTTAAGGTAAGATTCTGCTTCCAATGTGGAGCCCATGCTTCGGGGTTTGTACAGCTGTTTTCAGAGATACTTCTAGGGACCTGTAAACTTTCAGTTCTTCCAAGGTGCTATGAAAAGGGGTGAGATGTTACCTCTCCACCACCACAACAAGCCCCACCATGCCAGCACTCCTCCTCTCCCCAGGACCACCCCTCAGAAAACTGTGGCCCAGATCCAAGCACAGGCAAAGCAAGAGATTCCTGCCTCAGCACTGGCAAAGAGATCCCTGCAATCCCTCTCTGATCAGCCACTCAATTCCCCTCAGTCTATGGGTCAGAAGCTCAGGAGGCAGCCACCACCCTGGGCCCTCGCTTGGGATTTATGGCTGACACGTAGCTTCTCTCTCACCACAGTCATAGACTTTTCCCACTGACCTTCTAAGTTGTCTTTGGTGTTCATGGGTTGAGAAGTCTGGAAACCACCACAGCTGCCTGTGATTCAGTCTTCTGAGGCTTGCTCCAGGTTTGCTGCGGCCTGCACACCCACATCAAACTGTGCTCCTCTCCCTGCCCTGCGTTATATACCTTCCAGATCAACCATCCAGTTTGCCTTGGGCTGGAAATTTGTTTCACTCTGTCTTTTTGTGGGTTCTGCTGCTTTAGAATTTGTTTAGAGCCATTTTTTACAGGTATTTGGAGGGGTTTGGTGGAGAGCTCAAGCAAATCACTGCTTTCCCTCCGCCATCTTGACTCGGCCCACCCTGAATTCAATCTAACCCCAGAATTCCTCACCAATGGAACTTCATTTGTTGTCCTTTTATTTGGAAAAGTGAGGTTGAACCTTTGAGCTGACATTATTGTTATAGATTAAGGATCTCCCAGAGTCCCTTCCCTATGACAAATCCTGCATAGTTAGATCTTGGGGCAACTGTTATTTCAAGAACCAATGTTAAGACAGGAGCTTTATTCTCTGCCAGAAAGCCACACAGTACTTGAGAACTTGGGAATCACTCAAGATCAGCACAAAGGGACTACAAGTTGGGAAACAAGAAGCCAGGAAGGCAGAGGTATACACAATCCAGATAGTTGGCTTGGAAAAGGACATAAAGCATGCCATGATAGAATTGAGTACATAAAAGGAGACAAAAATGCTGACCAACAGAAGAATAGCTTGAGTAGCTCTTGTCTCAGGGACACTTCCAGGTGTGCAATTGTTGCTACAAATGTACTGGATTTGCTGGTAGTGTCTGTACAGGATAAGCACCATGAATATACTGCTCCAACCCATAATTCCTATACACACAAGGTCAAGAAAAGAGTTCATGATTGCAGATGGTGGTATATGACCTGAGGCATAAGATAAAGAACAATAAATAAGTTCCTGTCTCTTGGTGGTATTTCTAGACTTCCTTGGACCTCTAATATAAACAAAGGTGGGGCCATTTATTAATAGATTGAGTACCCAAAAGAGAAAACAGGAGAAGATAATGAACTTTGGGACTGTGGCTTTGAAGTCTGCCAACTTGGAGCTTCTAGATTTGATGATAATGGCCTGGAAGCTACTCAGGAGGGAGGTGGTGCAGAGACAAAGGCCCTGGGCCACTCGGTGAAAATAAATAGCAAGTTTACATCCATTGTCATCCAGGAAATTGTTGACTTCAAAAGTAGCTATTATCAGAGGGATCCCCTTGGAGAGGAGCACCACGTTGTTGACAAAGACCAGGTGAGTAAGAAGCAAATTTATGGGCTTCAGCTTGTGTCCAGTAAGAAAATTGAAGATGTTAAGGCCCAGGAGGATGGAATTTCCCAGGACCCCAACTGCAGTCTGAGAGATGAAAATAATCCTAAATGTTATGTCAATAGAATCCATTATCATGATGTTTGGGGGTCATTCATAAAATTCAAAATTTAGGATAACCTGGAAAAAACAAACAACAGATTAGGAATATTCCTTCAGAAAAGTGTTGCTGTTAATGTCCCATATACTCAGCATGTGTCTTTAATTTCCACCCAACCAAATAATAACAATAATAATTAGTAATAATAATAGTATTTATGTAACATTTTAAGGTTTACAAAGTGCTTTATAAATATTACCTTGTTCGATCCTCACAACAACCCTGGAAGGTAAGGTTCTATTATTATTCCCTTTCACAGATAAGGAAACTGAGGCAGATTAAAGGTTAAGTGACTTGCCCTAGACTACATAGCTAATAAGAATTAGAGGCAGCATTGAAATTGTGATCTTGTTGTCTCCAAGATATTGAGAATATCTCCCCTGGAACTTCCAAATGTATTAATTGAAAGCTATTGTAGAAATAAAAGTTACTAAACCTTATCTCACTCTCAAAGTTTATGGAAGAATTCTTTGAACATTTTATAAGTTGGATTCTGTTTTGGCAAAATGGGTACATTATAATTCCTATCATAAAGTCCCTGGTAGAACTGTGACTGGTGAAAGACTAGTTGTACCATGTAGAGGATCTTGTTTTATTGGCATTAAGAATATATATTAGGTAAAGACTGGGCAGCTAGATAGTGCAGTGTGTAGAGTGTTGGGCCTAGGGTCAGGAAGACTCATCTTTCTGAGTTCAAATCTAGCCTTAGACACTGACTAGTTCTGTAACCCTGGGCAAGTCACTTGACCTTATTTGCCTCAGTTTTCTCATCTGTGAAAATGAACTAGAGAAGGAAATGACAAACCACTGCAGTATCTTTGCCAAGAAAACCCTAAATGGGGTTTCAAAGAGTCAGACATGGCAGAAAAACAAATGACTACACAACAGAAATTATTGAAGTCTCTTTTCTTTACAGGAGGATGAGCATTTGGGGTTAATGCCTTTAAGTAAGCTACTTGTCACAGGATCATTCCAGAGCTGCACAAAAGAACTTAAGTTCTTCAGAATGAGGAGGCTGGACTGCACAAGTTGAAAGTTCTTTGTTCTCCAAGGAGTGATTATGTACATCCATAGGTGAAAGATCATTTTGTGGGGTCAGAAGAAGAAATGAATCATATGAATTGGTGAAAACCTGCTGAGTGATGCAGAGAAAGCTATGTGCTGATGTAGTAACCACAGAGAGGTATTATATCTTTCCAGAACATATATGCAGAATGTAAACATGACCATTCACAAACTTGTTGATTTGAATGACTATTACCAAATTTGATGATTCAACTGGATGTCAATGGTACTATTGACAGATGGAATCAAGTAATTATAGCTAAGAGGAGGCAGAGACAAGATGGCAGACAAAAGCCAGGAGGTTGCCTGAGCTGTCTCCAGTTTCCCTCAGAAACAATGTTAATTTAAGCCTCTAAATGGATTCTAGAGTGACAGAACTTACAAAAAGACACAGTGAAACAATTTTTTCCAGCTTAGGATAACTTAAAAGGACTTCAGAAAAGGTCTATCTCACTTGGGTAAAAGGAGAGCACAGCCCAGCACAGAAGGTGTCTGGGTAAGCCAGTGGGAGGTTCTTGGCTGCAGCACAGATGAGCAGCAAAGGCCCATCAGTCCTGGCTCATCAGGCCAGCAGTGAGGCCTCCAGCCTCATCACATAAGGCAAATTATGAGCTCCAGAATCCCTGCACAGCAAGCATGATTAGGCTGGGACACCCCCTGTGCTGTGGGCAAGCTTGCCAGGCCTCTGACTCCCAGCACAAGAAGGTTGTGATAGTTCCCCCTGTGCCCCAGGAGCAGATCTCAACTTTAAAAGTCATGAAATAGGCAGAAAAATGAGTAAGAAACAGAATAGATCCCTCACCATAGAAAACTACTATGTTGACAGAGAAGATCAAAACCCAAACTCAGAAGAGGACAATATCAAAATGCCTACATGTGAAGCCATGAAAGGGAATATTAATTGGTCTCACACCCAAAAAGTTCTCTTGGAAGAGCTCAAAAAGGATCTTAAAAATGAAGTACGAATGGTAGAAGAAAACTTGGGAAAAGGAATCAGAATTATGCAGGAAAATTATAAAAAAGGAGTCAACGGCTTGGAAAAGAAAGCACAAAAATTAAATGAAGATTATAGTTTCTTAAAAAAATGGAATTGGCCAAATGGAAAAAAAAAATCCACTGAAGAAAACAACTCCTTTAAAAGTAAAATTGGCCAAATGGAAAAATAGGTATAAATGCTAACTGAAGACAATAATTCCTTAAAAATTAGAATTGGGCAAGTATAAGCTAATGACTCTATGAGACATCAAGAATCAGTCAAACAAATCAAAAGACTGAACAAAGAAACAAATATAAAATACCTCAATGGAAAAACAACAGACCTGGAAAATATCCAGGAGAGATAACTGAAGAATTATTGAATTACCTGAAGGCCATGATCAAATAAAAGATCCTAGAGAGCATCTTTCAAGAAATTACCAAGGAACTCTACCCTGATATCCTAGAACCAGAGGGCAAAATAATCATTGAAAGAATCTATCAATCACCTCCTGAAAGAGATCCTAAAATGAAAACTCAAAGGAATATTTTAACCAAATTCCAGAATTATCAAGTTAAGGAGAAAATACTGCAAACAGCTGGAAAGAAACAATTCACATATCAAGGAGCCATAGTCAGGATTACATAGGACTTAGCAGGTTCTATGTAAAGGATCAGAAAGCTTAAATTATGATATTCTAGAAGGCAAAGGAGCTTGGATTACAACCAAGAATCAACTACCCAGAAAAACTGGACATCATTTTTCAGGGAAAAAGATGGATATTTAAGGAAATAGGGGGCTTTCAAACTTTCCTGATGAAAAGACCAGAGCTGAATTAAAAAAAATGATCTTCAAATACAAGACTCAAAAGGAGCATAAAAAGGTAAACAGGAAAGAAAAAAAACGTTATTCAATAAAATTTAAACTGTTTTCCTTATCCAGGAAGATGATACTTGTAACTCTTGACAACTGTGTCTCTATTAGGGCAGTTAGGAGTATATATGGACAGATGGAATGGGTATAAGTTGACTTTGATGTGATGATATGAAAAAATTAAGAGGTGAAAAAAGGATTGTACTAGGAGAAGAGGAAAGATAGAGGTAGAATAGGGTAAATTACATCACATAAAGAGGCCAAAAAGACCTATTACAGTAGAGAGATAGAAGAGAAGGGGTGAACATTGTTTGAACCTTACTATAATTGGATTTGGCCCAAAGAGGGAATAACATACACTCTCATTTGGGTATAGAAATTTATCTTACTCTATAGGGAAGTAGGAAGGGAAAAGGGAAAGAAAAGAGTGGAACTGATAGAAGAGAGGGCAGATTGAGGGACGTGGTGGTAAGAAGCAAAACTCTGGTGAGGAGGGACAGAATAAAAGGAGAGAGAAAAGAACAAATAGGGAAAATAGGATGGAAAGAAAAACACAGTAATCTTAACTCTGAATGTGAATGGGATGAACTCCTCCATAAAATGGAAGTGGATAGCAGAATGTATTGAAAACCACAATTCTACAATATGGTATTTACGAGAAAGACATTTGAAGCAGAGAGATACACACAGAGGAAAGGCAAAAGGCTAGCGGACAACATATTATGTTTCAGTTTAAATAAAAAAAAAAAGCAGGGGTAGCTATCCTGGTCTCAGACAAAGCAAAGCAAAAGTAGATCTAATTAAAAGAGATAAGGAAGAAAACTACATGTTGCTACTAAACATATACGCACCAAGTGGTATAGTATCAAAATTCTTAGAGAAGTTAAGTGAGTTACAAGAAAAAAATAGGTAGCAAAACTATATGAGTGGGTAACCTCAACCTCTACCTCTCAGAGCCAGATAAGTCTAACCACAAAATAAACAAGAAAGAAGTTAAGGAGGTGAATAGAATTTTAGAAAAATTAGATGTGGTAGACCTCTGGAGAAAATTAAATGGAGATAGAATGGAATATACCATTTTCTCAGTGGTACATGACACCGACACTAAAATTGACCATGTATTAGAGCATAAAAATCTCACAGTCCGATGCAGAAAGGCAGAAATATTAAATGCATCATTTTCAGATCATTATACAACAAAAATTACATGTAATAAAGGACCAAAGAAAGATAGACTAAAAACTAATAGGAAACTAAATAATCTAATCCTAAAGAATGAGTAGGACAGGGACAGCTAGGTGGCACAGTGAAAAGATCACTAGCCCTGAAGTCAGGAGGACCTGAGTTCAAATCTGGCCTCAGACCAAACACTTGATACTTACTAGCTATGTGACCCTGGCTAAGTCACTTCACCCCGATTGCCTAAACAAGCAAACAAAAAAAGAATGAGTGAGTCAAACAATGAATCATAGGAACAACCAATTTCATCAAAGAGAATGACAATAATGATACAATACACCAAAACTTATCAGATGCAGCCAAAGCAGTTCTCTTTTCTTTTTCTTTTTTTGGCTAGGCAATGGGGTTAAGTGCCTTGCCCAGGATCACACAGCTAGTAAGTGTTATGTGTCTGAGGCCGGATTTCAACTCAGCCCTGAATCCAGGGCTGGTACTCTATCCACTGTGCCACCTAGCTGCCCCCCCAAAGCAGTTCTTAAGGGAAATTTTATATCTCTAAATGCTTACATGAATAAAATAGAGAAATAGGAGATCAATGAATTGGGCATGGAACTAAAATAGCTAGAAAAAGAACAAATTAAAAATCCCCAATTAAATACTAAATTAGAAATTCTGAAAATCAAAGGAGAGATTAATAAAATTGAAAGTAAGAAAACCATTGAACTAATAAATAAAAATAAGAGCTGTTTTTAAGGAAAAAATCAATAAAATAGATAAAACTTCGGTTAATTTGTTTAAAAAAAAGAAGAGAACCAAATTACCAATATCAAAAATGAAAAGGGTAAATTCATCACCAATGAAGAGAAAATTAAAGCAATA